ATCATGTTATCATCATCAAGTACATTGATTACATAGGTGTCATGTAATCATCATCAAGAACAATCAAATTGATTAAATGTGAAATCATGTTATCATCATCAAGTACATTGATTACATAGGTGTCATGTAATCATCATCAAGAACAATTATATTGATTACATAGGTGTCATGTAATCATCATCAAAAATAATTATATTGATTAAATATGCCATCAGGTAATCATCATTAAATATCCATCATCATATATCATCAAATTGAACATATGATATAATGTGCCATATCATGAATATTTTTATACATTTTGTGGACGTATATATATGTATATGTATATGTCTATGAATTATTCTACAATGCTAGCGTGGTACCACTCAGCGGTTTTGTTGAGCGTGTAGTTTGTATTTTTCGTTGACTACACGTAGGTAACAAGAAGACAATGATGGAACCACTCCCGGAAGGCATTGAGTCAGAGGAGATCCAAGGATGGTAGGCAAATGTTGATCATCAGATTTTTAAATGTGTCATGATTTGATTTGATTATTATTGTACTTCCGCATTACTCTGAAAATATTTTTTAAATGGGTCGCGATCTAGAGTCTGTAAATTTGATATTTATAAGTAATTGTCATTTTCAAATGTCAGGCAAAATTTTTATTTTACTCTTGTTTCACCTTAATTCGTGTAATTCCGGGTTATACGGATTGGGGTGTTACAAGGCTCCTGGTACGAACCACCCTACTGCCGTGACTACACCCTGTTTGCTGAAGAACAAATCGAAGCAAACAAGGTGGCAATTCGAGAAAGAGCGAAACTTCTCAAATCAGTCCGGAAGGAAAAGGAGTTCAAAAGGAGATTATGCGAAGGATCAGAAATGATGCAGAAAATGATGTACGACTTTCAAAGAGAGAGACTAGAAGCTGAGTCTAAAGCCGATAAATTAGTCAATGATCTCTGTTAGAATAAAGGCCCAACGCTAGAGGGGGGGTGAATAGCGTTTAAAACAAAATCGCAGGAAATTAAAACGAGAGCGTTAAAGTAAAGAGCGTAAAGAAGGAGCACACCGGATTTTATCCTGGTTCACCACAACGTGTGGCTAATCCAGCCCCCCGAGAGACTCTCTCGAGGCTAACTCCGTTAAGCTTAAGGGTGCTTAACAAACCGATACAACTTGAGAACCCGAGTCACACGAGCCTCAACACCTTTGCTCGGAGATACCGCACTCCAAGACTTCTCACGAAGGAACAAGAAACTTCCTTCGAGTTTACAACAAGGGAACAAACTCCCTTAAAGTGTATGAAAACACTTAAACACTCAGGAATGAAACTCTCACAAAGAGTAGATATGAGTGAACTAGTAAACGCTCAAGAACACGACAATTTCTTCAAGAATTGGCTCTTAAATAGCTAAGAAAAAATAGGAATGATTATGCAATGAAGGA